ACCCACGCGCGCCGGGCCTTGCACGTTGAAGTGGGACTCCCGTCGTCTAGACGTTGAGTCGCGAGGGCTGCCCGGCCCTCGCCCCCACCTCTAGTTGACCTCGCCCTGCCGCCTCTACAAGGTGCGACATCGCCCTCGCGCTGATCGACGCGGGTGCGGACCCGGCGCGCGCCAACGGCTCCGGCGAGCTGCTGCCTTCCAAGCTCGCGCCGGCTGTGAGCGGCGTCTCTTCACACCTCAGGTTGTGAACAGGCGAGCTGCCTTCCAAGCTCGCGCCCGTCTCGCTGCGCATGAAGGTCCCCGCGCTCGTACCGCCGGCGTGAACGCCCTCGCACGCAGCGCGACGGACGGCGCGTGTCCGTGTGTTGTGGCGGGGTGTGCGGAGTGCCAGTGTCGCGAGTGCGCCCCTACGAGCTGGGGGATCGCGGATAGGCCGGGCGCCCGGGGCCCGGCGCGGGGCCAGGGGGCGCGGGTTCTCGGCGTGTTGGATCTCTCGCGGGCCTCTCTCGAGCTTCCAGTTAGTGTGCGTCACATCACCCGCAAGTAAACTCTATAACAAACAGACTATCACGCGGACAGATCTCCCTCTGCGTCTGGCAACGTGTGACACCAACGACCAAGATAGTCACAGGCGCACGATGACCCACGTCCCACGCGCCACGGATCGGACGGTCCGAGCTCCCCGACTCAACATGCACACCCGAGCTCTCACAAAACACTTGAGCCGCACTCCGGGCCACGTCAGTGCCAGCCCCGCTCACGGACAGACATGGCGAGGTCCCCACCAGCTGACTGCGGCTCGGCCCAGTGCCGCACACACACCCCAAAAGGCAGCGCGCAGGCATGGGGCGGCCGGCGAGGCTCTGTCCTCATCGCAGCGCCGAAGACAGGATCTGGATGAAGATCTGGAAGCCGATGAGACCGAGGACGATGGTGGCGATCTTCCGCTGTTGCTCCGTGAGCCGGTCGCCGAGGCTGCTGACCGCATCCACAGCCTCCTCGCCTGCCCGCTTTGCGCCGGCCGCCGTCGACGTCACTGTGGACTTGGCATCGCTCACGGCAATCTTGGCCTTGAACGCGGTTGCACCGCCCTCACTCTCGACGCGTTTGTTGAACTCAGCCATGAGTCCACCGTCATCAGCGCCGGCGTCGAGGCCGCTCTGCCTCACCACTTCCTCACGACCCAACGCTTCATATCGTGCGCGCCGCTCAGCCTCGCTCTCGTCGTCACTGCTATCCATCACGACCGGCGCGACACGGTGGCATCGGACCGGCAGAAGGACGGCTCGGGCCGGCAAGACGGATCCGGCCGGCAGAGCAAAAGGAATCAAGAGCGCCCCTGCCATTGGGGCGGCGGCGGCCAGAAGAATTTTATTCTGCAGTGCTGGCTGCCCATTTGTGCAGCTAGGTGTCCCACTAGCCACCGCGGATGTCTGCCGTGCAAAGCCAGGGGGCTGCGAGGCCTGTTCTCGCGGATTAGGTAAGTAGTTAGCGTCGGCTGATGGGTGCTTGTCGCGCGTGCGCGTATGTGCCTGGGTCGGGGGGGGGGGGGGCGTAGGCCCGCATAGTATGTGGGAGACTCGTGCCGCCGCCCCTGCCACCCCTGTGTCAGTGTGCCTGTGGTAGGAGAGACTGCCAGCGACAAGCTGGAGGCAGGTCGCTAGACTGAGATGAGACCGCCAGTGGATGTGGGAGTCCACCGCGCACCGCGCTGCGAGCCTGTCGTGTCCCTTGTCAGGAGCAGGAGAGCCCCACCTGTCCCCCTGATCGTTCTTCCAAAATCCTGCTCGTGCAGGTGGGGACCCTGTCCTCGCCCCATCCCTCGTTTGGCGTGTCTGTTTTCTTTCTTTCTTTCTTTCTGACCGACGGACGTACGGACACATGTGTAAGAGCGCGCACGAGTGGGTGTGCGAGCAATATCGAAAGACAGTGAGGCCAGGATCGCACACGGCAGGGGTGGCGGGACGGTTGTGGAGCGAAGTGGCAGTAGCCAGCCTCAAGCATCGATGGGATAATAAGATGAGATTACCGGACGAGAACGGGGGGAAGGACAAGCGGGCGACATTTGACGACGTCGGGGATCACAATGTGACGACCAAAACGATCTTGGGGGCCAGGGTGAGACAACAGGTCGGGGTGCCACACGGGGCACACCACAGGCGTATTCTAGAGGGGGAAAAGAAACGGGGAATGAGGGGCCCCGCCACGAGAAGTGCGTTCTGGGGATGCAGAGCGTGCAAGGCGGCTAGGGATGAGGCCACAAAAGAGGCGCGCGAGGCAAGGAGGAGACGCGGGGAACTGGGAGACTGGGACGACTGGAAACAAGAAGACAGTGAGCCACCACAGGCGTCGTTGGCGCACATACTGAGCGGCAGCTGCGCTGGAAATAAGGAAGAGGCGCGTCACTTCATGCGGAAGCTCGACAAACACACAGCGAGGGCGACAGCAAGAGTTGAACGGGAGGCGCCGGACTCAAAAGACACCGCCACATTCCTGAGACGAGCGAGGGCAGCCTCCTTAAAGGCGAAAGGGTCTAGATTTGGAGCGCTCGCCGAAGAGGAGTACGACAAAATAGCGCCCGTGATTGCCTGCACGCTACCCGCACTCACGGACTCCATACCCGAAAGAAAGAGAAGGGAGCTCGCGGGAGAGGTGACGAGTGAACTACAGGCAGTGGGGAAGGCAGCCTCGATTGCCATACAGACATGGGTGCGAAACAACGACAAGACCAAGGCACGGGCAGAGGAACGAGAGAAGAATATAGGGTGGATAAAGCGCCTGTTCACGGCATGGAGGGTGAGCCACACCGAACGTACCGAGCGAAGAGCCGAGCGGAAGGAGGACGGGGAAGATGACTCCGAGGAGGACGAACCAGTGGAAATCCAGTTGTCAGATGTCACGATGCATCCGAAGGGGACCCCAGCGCCGGCATCATCCGTAGCGTAGAGGCACGAGTGTTCGAGAGAGAGTGTGGACCTGAGCAACAACATGACCTGTCTAGGCAAATGATCGGAGTGGGAGTCAGAAATGTGGTCCTTGCGCGAGGGGAGCTCGATAGACTCGAGGGGCCAGGATACGCCGCGAGGAGGACGGAGTTGCGCCGAAAGGCGAAAGAAGCCGCGAGAACAAGGGACCGGCAGGCGACCAAAAATCCTTGCAGCTGGGGATCCTGCGCTCCTCAGCACTGCGGGCAGGGACTAAAAAGAAAACATTTAATTTCACCCGAACCCGTGGTCATGAGTGAAGTGCGAGTACCGCGGGTTCTGCAAGTTGTGCCACCGCAGCCGATCGCCCGGCTGCACGTGCAGCCCGCGCAGCGTGCGTGTCGGGTAGGCCGCCTCGTTGCCATGCGGGCCGCGCACCCACAGCTGAGGCTTGCGCGGCTGCCCCTTTTGGCGCTTCTTGCCGCGCACGCCCGCGCAGATCTCGAGCACCACGAAGCCCGGCTGGCCCGACTTGTCGGTGCGCGTGTCCTCCCGCCGCGATCGCTCCTCCTTGCCGCGCCGCTTCTCCGAGACGGCGCGGAGGCTGACGGTGCCTGCGGCGATGCCTCGCAGCACCGCCACCGCCTCCGCCTCCGCCGCGCCGCGTGCCTCGCCGCGGTCGCGGTGCTCGCTGCGCGCGAGGCAGCGCTCCTCGGCGAGCTTCTCCTTGCTCTTGCGCTTACACCGCACCTGGCACAGCACGCGGCACTGCCACGTCGAGACGCCGCCACGCCTCTGGCGCGTCTCCTGCACGCGCACGCCGGCGACCGCCACGCCGCCCTTGGGGCATGGCGCGCTCGAAAGCGAGCCCGCCAGCGCATCCAGCCCCGCGCTCGAGGCACGATCCGCCGCGCTGACGTTGTCCCAGCCCTCCCCCTCTTCCTCCCCTCCCCACTCGTCCTCCGCCTCCTCCCAATGCTCGTCCTGGCTGTCGCGCCCGTCCCACGTCGCGCTGTCGTCGTCCCAGCCGTCGCGGTTTCGCTTGAGACCGACACTTGGCCCGTCTTGCGGTGGCGGTGGCTGCGGTGGTGGTGGCGGCGGCAGCGGCGGCGGCGGCAGCGGCAGCGGCTGTGGCAGCGGCTTGGCAGAAGCGTCGCATGCGGCTGCCCTTCCCCGCGAGATCTCGCGCTCGAGCGCCAGCATGCGCTCGCGCAGGGTGCGGCGGCGGTGGGCGCCCCACGTGGCGGTGTAGCATTGTCCCTAGCCTGACTAGCCCGAGGCCACGCGGCCGGACACAAGCCTTCGATGGCGGCCTCGCGCGACATTGAGGCGCTCCGCAACCAGAAGAGAGTACCGGGAGGGCATGCACACGGCGCTGGTACACTGATGCATCGTAGCTCACGCTACTTGAAATCCTGTGAAGTTGGATTTTGCCGAGCCCCGTCACGCCCCGACGAATCGCGTAGCTAGCGTGTCTATCTCGAGGCGAAGCGTGTGTGGGTTATCTCTGGCAACCCCGTATCGACACTGGACAACCGGTCGCTTAGCCAGCAGATGACGTCCACCCATGACAATTTGGGCCTGATGGACAGCATGGGCGGCCGCGGCCCGCCCCTGCCAGAGGAAGAACACTCTGAGCAAGGATAGGAAGCCCAATGCTGTCATGGTCGTCAGCGCGGGCGGAGTGTCTGCCTCGGCGCACGACCCGCGGGGCACGTGCGCGCCTCGAGAAGCTCCGCCGCCCCGCCCGGCGCTGCCCACCCGCCTTCGGTGGCACCCGCCGATGCGCAGGAGGGCCCGGCGCACAACCCCTGGTCAACTCAGGGTCCACAGCACACCCCGTACACACACGCACACGCACAATGGCATCGTGCGCTGGGTCCCACGCCTCGGAGCTCTACAGCCTACTAAGTTGGGGAGAATTTTACAACAAGAGAAGCGCTCGAATGACGCTCCTTCATTTCGCCGCCCTCGTCCGCCGAGACCTGTGCGTTCCTCCGACCATCGGGACCGGCCGATGGCACACGCATGGGCCTCGAGCAGCGTCGGCAGATCACTCGCGCTGACCTGTTGAGATCACACGTACATGACCTCTTTCGAGAGGGCCATCGCGAGCTGGACCATCGCCAGGAAGATGCCGCCGCCCATGACGACGCCAATCACCGCCTTGACGGACAGGAATGCGAACGTGCCGGCCGTCTTGGGCAGCGCGGAATCCTCGAGCAGAGGCTTGGCGAACACCGCCGTGCCGCCGTGCAGCGCGACGAGCACGAGGGCGCCGTACATCATGCCGTCTAGCACCTTGTTGCACTCGGTGGTGCCCATGATGGCCTCGGTGACGTTGTGGGTGTCGAAGGTGTAGATGCAGATGTAGATGATCGCGCCAAGCCCGAAGAAGCGCCGGCCCAGAAACGCGAGGGAGAGCCCGTTGAACGGGGCCTGCTTGCGCGCTTCGGCGAGGTCGGCCTTGAACGCGGCGTCGTCGAACGAGCGGCCGTGCACGAAGAGGTAGAGAAAGAACTGATCGATCTTGAGGATGGAGGCGAAGGTGAGGAACGCAACGGTGTCGAACTTCCCGCAAGGAACGCGGCCGTCGTCATGGCGAGAACGGGCGGGAGCACGCAGTTGCGGATGCACGTCACAAATATATACGCGAGCTTGCCGTACGAGGCGCGCCAGCCGAGCGCGGCCTCGTTCTTCTTCACCCGGTAGTTGAACATGAGCTCCTCGTTGGCCGTCTGATCCATTTGTTTAAGGATTGACTGGGGAAAGATGAAGAGATACACGAGCCCGACGATAAAGGCCGCGATGGTGACGCGCCGGTCGTTGAGCGCATCGCACGAGTCGGGGTCGTCGTTGGCGCACTGTATCGCAGCCGAGGCGGCCAGGGCTGCGCTCAGCGGATCGCCGTTCATGTGCTCCCCTTCTCGCGAGTATTTGCAGTCGAGGCAAAGGCCGCCGACGGTGTGCGACGCCCGGTCAGCCACCTCGCAGAACATGCCGATCTGGCAGTCGCCGTGGCCCTTGTATGACGTGCAGACCGGCATGGTGATCTCGGTGGTCAAACAGCACATGATGAAGACCTCGAGCAGGCCCATGACCACCGAGACCCACGGCGCATACATGGCCATCATTGGCGACACACCCGGCTCGGTGGCGAACCACATCGACCACGAATGCAGGCCCCTGAACCAGGGCGCCGGCCACGGGCCGACCGGCCACTCGGCGCGCAAGGCCGAGTCGGGCGTCTTGGTGATCTTCTCAAAATAGTCGAGCGGCTTGACCTCTACGGCAACGCCCGTGTGCGATTTGGTCTCGGCCATGGCCCCGGGCATGGCCCTGGGGCGCTGGGCGAAGGGTGTCGGCGCGAGTACACAGTGTTTTCAAGCAACCGCCTTCTGCACGTGATTTTTTTACGGCGTGTGAACAGGTTTCTCGAGGTTCTCGAGGTGGATATCCTTTTTATTCACATTAACGCAGACCTCGGGCCCGAAATCGCCAGAGGTTTATTCACAAGATGTCTCCCCGTAGGACCGAGTGACTTCGAGAAGTCACTCTTCAAAGCTTGTGTCATTTTTTTCTCTCTCTTGTGAACAACTTGGTATTGCTAAAAATCTCTCTCTCTCTCTCTTGTGTCATCGCGTAGCGGTGCGGAGGCAGCGCCGTATATACATTAGGCTGCACACATGTTTCCTCGCTCACCCCGTCTCGTTTCCTTTCCGTGTTTCTCTACAGCACCCTCTCGTTTCCTCTCTAGTTTCCCGAGGTGCGAGGAAACTCCGTGGAAATCAGCTGGTTTGGGCCCAAAATCACTGACAGCCGAATCGGCAAACGACCCTGTTCAGCGGGTTCGAGCGTCACACGTTGGCCGCCGAGGCGGGGGGAGAGTGCCCGGCGCGGCTTGCAGCGCTCTCCCTCTGGGTGGTGGTGACCGTGGTGGCCGGCACCCTCTCCAACTCTCGGAATTTTAGACCATAAACCTAACCCTTCCCCTAGACTCTTTTGGTGGGTGTAACCCTAACGCATGCTGAGACCTAGATAGAGAATGAAGGACCATAAACCTATGCAGCATGACTGCAAGGCAGATGCTAACTAAAAGCTCGCGGCGCAGCTACGATGCAAAGGCCGGCCCTGACCCTATGCCTTGGTCACTCAGATTTACTAGGATTCACTTGATTTCAGCGTTATCGTTGAGGAACTGAGGGCCAAAATAAGATGAGCCGGGGTCTCCGGGGTCTCCATGCCCTCTCCACCCTCTCCACCCTCTCCACCCCTTCTTCAAGCCCTCCACCCTCTCCACGCTCTCCACGCTCTCCACGCTCTCCAACACTCTCTATATAACCACCCCAATCTCGCCTACGCTCCCAAGGTCTCTCGGTCTCCAGACATGGCTGTCTTTGACACGCAGACATCACGATCAGCATCACACGCCCAAAGTCAATACGAGGAGTAGATCTCTTACTACGTAGTAAAGGCCCTCGTCGGCTTCGAGAGTGCGCGCGGAGCGAGTGAGTTTGTGATCGCGCTCACCGCCGCAATGCTGGCCGCGTCGCTGCTCGTCGTCCTCTTCAAGACTATCAGCGCCGTCCGCATGCCCACCATCCGCCTCTCCTCCTCCGGCCGCCATCCGGTCCTCGAGCTGTCCCCCGAGTGCCACTTCCACGGCTTCATCTCGCACTGCTGGGGGACCGGCCAGGACCAGACCCACACCGTCGTGCGGCAGCTCCAGCTTCTTCTCCCCGGCGTCCGGATCTGGCTCGACGTCGACAATCTCGAGGACGTGGGCAGGCTCGAGGAGTCGGTCAGAGACGCGACGACCTTCCTCGTCTTCCTCAGCGCGGGATACTTCAAGAGCTTCAACTGTCGCCGCGAGCTGTACGCTGCGCTAGGCTCGAACCGGCCCTTCATCCCGATCCAGGAGGCTGACGTCGACAAGGGCGGCGCCTCGATCGAGGCGCTGAAGGCAGAGTGCCGCGAGCACTGCGTCGAGACCGCCCCGCCGGCCTACCCCTCCTACAGCGGGCCAGGCGAGATGCTCGCGCGCGTGTTTGAGGCGACGATGCCGATTGTGTGGGTGCGGGTGAACGCTTTTCAGCTCGAGTCGCTCAAGGCTGTCGCGCTGCGCATGTTGCTGCACTCTCCTTACTACGCGAGCCGCCCGGCCGAGCTCGCTGGAGGAGTGATGGTCCCTCGCCAGCCGGGGCCCTGTGCCTTCAGCGGCCCCGTCACCATCCTCGTGTGCCGCGACAACGAGGGCGCCGTCGGCATTGCAAGTGACCTCAGGACGGCGGCGAGGGAGGGGCGCGGTTCTACCGCCAGCGCCGAGGCGGTCGCGATCCGCGATGCGGAGGAGGCGCTCGAGGGAGTCAACGCGGCCCCGCTCTCCGGGCACGTAGTATTTCTGCTCTACCTGAACGATAAGACCTTCCTGGACGCCGGCGGCGCCGTCGCGCGCCTCGTGCAAGCGGCGATGGACCGGCGCATCGCGATCGCCATGGTCCACGAGCAGGACCCTAGCTTCGGCGGCGTTCCGTTCCGCAACTTTTTCCAGCAGACGCCGCAGGTGCTGCTGCAGCCGCCGTACAAGCTCTTCGACACGGTGGCGGTGCCGCTCTACCCGGCTCCGGAGCACCGCACCGTGAGCCGCCGCCTCGTTCTGAGCAGCATGGGAGCGGTGCCGTGCGACGCGGGGCCGCTCCAGCGGCGGTGGGAGCTCCTCCGCCGCCGCATAGCGGTGGCGCGCCTCGTGCGGCGGCGCCCCGCCGAGCCGCGCCAGCAGCCTGTAGTGCAGCCGTAGGACGTGTTTGCCTCGCGCGCCCGAGCGTGCGCGCGCCGCGCCGGGATGTAGGTGGCGCCGATGTCCCTGTGCGCACGTTAGTTGCCCTGCCCCAGACTTTCGAAAGTTGCGGTGGCCCGGCGAAAGGCCAAATTCGACGAAAGTTGGTATACGTGGCTGGGTTCACAGCGAAGGAGGAAAACGAAGGGAACACTTGACGGTCGCGGCCTTCCGACTCGCGCCTCCGCCTCACTGGCACTATTGTAGCCCTAGCCGGTGCGCGTGCAGAGTTTAAGGTCCGGAGTGAAAATTCGAACGCGTTCTCTCACGGTGACCAAAAAATGTCCACCTCAGAGGCACCTCCGGAGGCAGGCCGCCGCACGCCGGCGACACAGCTCCAGCTGTCGAACTGACCCGCAGCTCCTCTCATAGCGGGAACTGTGACAAAAGTTGACTGAGGCGGTTGTCAGGAATCATCATACGGATCACAAGGTGGCTCTCTCATGACGGGAGACCGCCCGACCACTCCTGGGTGGCACTGCCACCGGTGTCCCTCGACGTCCTGTCGACAGCGTGCCGACAGCGACACAGACCATGTGGGACGCGTCGAGTATCGACCTCTACTGCTTACCCAGCCTTCGAGTGTATCCTGGCTGTGGTCCCACACCCACTGGTGTCCATCTCAGAGACCGCAGGAGGTCATGAGGGTCGATGGGAGTGCCAACCCCACAATGCCTAAAAACCCAGCCCAGTACGCAGTAGTTGCGGGCGGGGCTCGAGCCTCGGGCTACTATTCACGCTACCAGCGCTTGGCCACATTGGCCCTGTGAGGTCGGATCCTTCTCCTCTGTTGATGGTAACACTTGTCTACTCGCTGGAGCCGAGCAGGAGGGCCCGGCGCCTAACCCCTCTGGTCAACTCACCCTCTCCACACGCGCCCCGTACGGTAAAGGCTACTGCCGCCGCCCCTCTCGACGCCGCTCCCCTCGCCGCCGGTAGCGACCGCGCCGCCGACGTCGGTCGCGCTGGACGGCAGCGCGTCCCCAGCCCCGCCGTCGCTCTTCTCGCCGTCGCTCGCCTCACCGCTGGTATTAGGGGCCGCGCTGCCGGTGCCGAGCGTCACCTGCCTCCACGTCTCTTCCTCTAAGGAGAGGAGAGGCTCGGCGTCCGGATAGCCGTCGTACTCGACCGCATCCACACGAGCCGGCCGCCCGAACCCTCCTCCCGCCACGTGATGGTGGCCGACCACCACCCTGCTCGCCGAGGATCTCGACGTGCGTGCCTGTCTCAACGACAGCGTGCCCGGCCAGCCTCGCCGGCGCGTCCAAGCGCAGCCGCTCCGCCGCGCCTCCTGCGTCTCGGCGGTCCACCAACGACGCCGTCGCTGTCCTCGCCGACGTGACCGTGATCCGGAGGCGCCCACCCACGCCATTGGATGCAGCCGAGATGCAAAATCCAGAATTACCCCCCTCTTGGACGCGTCCACCCTCCGTCCAATCGAGCCGTCCCCTCTTTTACATACATAAACATATGGGCAGTAGATGTCTGGGTATCCATGCGATTAACAACAGCCTATCTACAGCTAATGGCCATCACCAAGCTGCTGCCACACACACGACCTCGGTGTAAGGTACCCTCCACAAACAAACAAACACAAGGCAGCCTGTCCCTCACAGTGTCCACAACGCCGGTGGGGTCCCCTCGGATGAGGGGGCTGGGGCGGCACAACCGTCTTGCCCATTGCCCTCGACGACTGGCAGAGCCGGAGCCAACCGCACCAACCACAGCCCGACCAGTAGCCAGGAAACTACCCCGCTGGGCGGGGGCCTGGTTGGGTTGTGCGAGGTGCGGCCCTCTCGGAGCCACAAATTGTACAAGTCCATTGACTCCGAGCGCATCTTCTACCCGTCCGACGACTCGCTCCTGCCGGGACCCTGGTCGACAGGTACCGAAGGCGGTCGAGCACCAGGACGAGGAGGCGCCGTTCTGGCGTCGCCCGTCCCCAACAACTCTGACATCGACATCTTCGTTGGCGGCACGCCTGCAAACGAGACCATCGTCAGCCTCTTCTCGCGCGACGCCTCGTCGGCGGGCGGCCTCTGGGACCTCTCCGACCCGCTCGGACTGGTGCTGGCAAAGCTCCCGGGAGATCTCCTACTCGCCGGCCTCATGGCGGTTTACACCAAAAACGGCATTTTCGCTTCCCTGTTCATCTTACACAGCGTCTCCGCCGCGCCCAAACCTTGGTACTATGCGCTCTACGTTCCAGGGTCTGGTTGGGGCGTCTTTTCCACGTGGGACCTCTGTGCAGCGCACGGCGCCATCGGGGGCTCGAGGGCGCGCCACAAGAAGTACCGCGACATCCAAGAGGCGCTCGCCCACGTTGGGGGCCTCACGCTACTCTGCGAGCATCCACCGTCGCCGCGGCTCCGCCGGCCGCACCGGCGGAGTCGATGCCGAGCGCCGACGCTGCCACCGCTACCGCCGCCGCCTCCTCCGAGGCGTCTCCGCCGCCGCCGCCAGACGAGTCTAGTGCAAGCATCTAGCACCGACGAGCCG